GCTTCCTCTTCGAAGGTATCATCAAAATATTCGTGCCCGTCATCGGTGTTGGTCCATGTCGACACTAGATATGCATGTTCCTTTTGGAAACTCTTATGTTCTTCTTCTACGTATGCTAATGCTTCAGTGATGTCATGGAGGGTTTTTTCTTTCTTGTGTGCCTCAAATTCTTCTACCAACTGTTTGAGGCGTGTCATGCGGGTATATTGCATGTTGATCTTTGTCCTTTGTTCAAAGGATAAGCCTGTGGATGAGGCGCTCCTGAGTGTTTTTCTTCTGGTAACTTTTGGAGATTTATCGCCTCTTGGTTGTTCAGTATTTTCCATTTTTTTTTTGTTTTTGTGTTATAGTTTCGCAGAAATGTGAGAATACAAAGCTCTCGCTGTTTATTAGTATAATGACTTCTCTTGTGACAAATATAGTGATGAACTTGTAAAATATAATATTGAACTCTCACGGTTGCACAACACTGTTGAGATACACTAATTTCCACTATATCCGGGCAGTCGAGGATGAATTCTCCGTGATTCAGCTGACCGGTTCTTCCCGTTGAATCTGATTCCGGATATCCGAGTCAAAGGATCAACAATCCAATGATCCGGCTCTCCGAAATATCCGGCTTGAAGGACCAAATGTTCGAAAGTTGTAGTAATGTAATTCTTGGCTCGAACTGCCAATGTTTCAATAGCTTAGTTTGCCCCCCGCCGTAGCAGACGCTCGGAAAGTAGTAAGATGTAAGGGCTGTACAAGAATCGTGAGAGTTGGTTAATTATATATTTATTATACACTATTTATTATATATTATATATATTATATTATACACTATAATTTATTACACTATTTACATATGAATGTTGTAGAATCTTCTTGTATTTTATATGAAGATACGATTTCTTGATCGACTTCTTATATAGGAGGTGTCACTACACAAGATGCCTTGAAATCGTTTAATTCATGTAAATTGCACAGGTAAATAATTGCTGCACACTTTTGAGTGGAGAGTTTGAGATAACCTTGATGGATGTCTTACGCCGGTTCTGCCGCCGGCTGACAATATTTGAAGAGATAAAATATATTAACGTACTTACAGCTATGTCGTAGTTTAATATCTGATTCAGCGTTGAGTTGGACACAATTGCACGCAGCAAAGCGACTGCGTGCGGCCTGACTCTTATGCTCACCAGCATGCACTATTCTTGATCTGATCTTGCTGTGAGAGGGACACGAATCATGTGCGGCCTGACTCCTTTACTCACCAGCATGCACTATTCTTGCTTTGAATTACTAACACTTATTTCTGCGTTGAATGAATTTTAGACTTGGTTTCCTTGGACAATTAATTTCTATTATTTGACCTTTCCCTAGACTGCTCACTCTAGCTCTTTGTGACTTTGTTCTTCAGGTGTGTATTGGCAGTCTGACGTCTTGGAAACTTCTTCTTGTATCCAAAATTTAGTCAATAGCTCGTCTAAGTCTTCTTCAATCATTTGAGTGATGGTATGAAATGTAACTGTTCTTTCGTTTTTGGTCGAGTTAGCAGGTCCAATTATAAGCCACCCAAAAATGGATGATTGAGCTATTGGCATGGATGGAGCACCCTTGACAATATCTGGTCTTATAATTCTCCCATATACATCTGCTCCCAGCACAATGTCGATTGATCTAGGGGTAAAGTAATTTGGATCTGCTAGTGTGAGATGTTTCAGATGCGGCCACTCAGGATTTGTGTTGAATGATGGGAGTGTAGTCGTCAAGGACTCGAGTATGTGAGCATAGACTGTAATTGAAGACGTTGGAGAATGAGTAGATATTAAAGTGAGAGATACATAACCTTTACTGAGAATAGATGTTTTTCC